GGCAGGGCGCAGCGTGGCGGAGTGGAGAGCTGGTGGGGGCGGCTGCAGCGGGGGAGGCGCGGCAGTTTTGAGGACGGCGCGTATGCAAGGGGAGGGCGAGCGTGGTGGGATGACGCACGGCCGGCCCTACCCGCCCTGCTGACCACCCGCTTGCTGGCGAGGGCGAGGGTGTCACTGCAATGCAAGCAGATGGAGCGAGGCGAGGAGGCGCTTGGGGCGCGGCGAGGAGGCGTCTGGAGAGAGGAGGATGACGAGGGCGGATGGCTGGCTCGGTGAACGGGCGGTGAAGGCGGTTTAACGGTGGCCTGCAGTGGACGCGAGACAACAATCAGCTGCTGCAAGCGACAACAAAACCAATTGAGCTTCCTTACCCTTGCCTCTCTCGGTCTATCTCGCTCTATCTCGCTCTATCTCTCTGTCTTTCTCGTTTCTCTTTGACATATCACCGACGCTCTTCACAGAGGCGACAGCCATTGCCACCTCCTTCTCTGGATGTGAGTGCATCCGTAGGTTTGCATTGGCTTGTCTCTGATTCTTTTGCCGACGATGTCTGCGGGTGCAACTAGGATGTGAGTGCAACTCCCACGTCACGCTCTCTGGATGTGAGTGCAACTCCTACGTCACGCTCTCTGGATGTGAGTGCAACTCCTACGTCACGCTCTCTAGATGTGAGTGCAACTCCTATGTCACGCCCTCTGGATGTGAGTGCAACTCCTACGAAACGCTCTCTGGATGTGAGTGCAACTCCTACGTCACGCTCTCTGGATGTGAGTGCAACTCCTACGTCACGCTCTCTGGATGTGAGTGCAACTCCTACGACACGCTCTCTGGATGTGAGTGCAACTCCTACGAAACGCTCTCTGGATGTGAGTGCAACTCCTACGACACGCTCTCTGGATGTGAGTGCAACTCCTACGTCACGCTCTCTGGATGTGAGTGCAACTCCTACGTCACGCTCTCTGGATGTGAGTGCAACTCCCACGTCACGCACTCTGGATGTGAGTGCAACTCCTACGTCACGCTCTCTGGATGTGAGTGCAACTCCCACGACACGCTCTCTGGATGTGAGTGCAACGCCCGGCGAGGCGAGAGGCGTGCGGCTAGAGGCGAGGCGAGGCTGCGAGGCAAGGTGAGGCTGTGAGACGCAATCCGTGGGCGGATTGAGTGGAGCTCTCTCAGGAGGTTTCAACGCACGACGGATGGAACGAGGAGAGGAGCGAGAGAGGTGGGATGACGCACGGCCGGCAGCCACTGGCATGTGGCTGCCTCCTACCCGCCCTGCTGACCACCCGCTTGCTGGCGGCACGCGAGGCGATGCGGATGGAGCAAGGAAGGAGCGAGCGAAGCTGGTTGTTCCGTTGCGTGTTCTCCCCCCGGCACCCTTGGGGTGAGGTGGAGGTGCGACAAGGACAGGCTGATAAGCTCAAGGAGGGGGTACTTGGAGGGAGAGGCTGTCGTGTGTGGAAGGGAGTAAAAATCTGGGAGAAAGGTGTGTCTGAGTGGTGATACTTTGATTGGGGGTGGGACCTCCCTCTCATTGGCTCTCCTCTCACTCTCCCTCTTGCCCAGCTGAGCCGCGGTAAGTGTGTGTTGGATGCGTGCTGAGAGTGGTGGCTGCCACCCCACTCTTTGGTTCTCATCCCACCGCTTGTCCCACCGCTTGCTCAACTCACCCTAAGCATACTTCACCTCATACTTCTCAGTCAACTCCTCTTTTGGCCTTTGACGCACTCCTCATCAGCACTCGTTGCTGATACCCCTTTATTAGGGAGTATTAGCAGCGCCTGCCTTGAGAGGGGAGAATGGGTGGGTCCGAGGGAGTGCAGTGCGGTGCCATCAGCAACGCCTGCCTTGAGTAGGGAGTATGGATGGGTCCGAGGGAGTGCAGTGCGGTGCCATCAGCAGCGCCTACCTTGAGAAGGGAGTATGGGTCTGAGGGAGTGCAGTGCGGTACCCCTTTAAAAGGGAGTATTAGCAACGCCTGCCTTGAGAAGGGAGTATGGATGGGTCTGAGAGAGTTCAGTGCGGTGCCATCTGCAGCGCCTGCCTTGAGAAGGGAGTATGGATGGGTCCGAGGGAGTGCAGTGCGGTGCCATCAGCAGCGCCTGCCTTGAGAAGGTAGTATGGATGGGTCCAAGGGAGTGCAGTGTGGTGCCATCAGCAACGCCTGCCATGAGAAGGGAGTATGGGTCGAGGAGAACAACTTTTTCTTTCTTGTTTTCTTGCTCCTTTCCTTGTCGCGTGTTTCGTTTTCATTTTGCATTCTGTTTTCCCTTGCACCCTCACCACCAACTTATATTTGTTTCCTCAAACCCCCCCTTGTCGCATGTTTCAATGTCTGCTTTGTTCTTTGCATTCTCTTTTTGTTTGCATCTTCACCAGCAACTTATCTTTCTTTCCTTAGTTCCCCTTGTTGCATTACTGTATGGCAGGGCGCAACATGGCGGAGTGGAGAGCTGGTGGGGGCGGCTGCAGAGCGTGAGGCAGCAGCTACACGGGAGGGAGGGGATTGGCGTGCAGAGGAGGAGGGAGCAGCAGCACCAGCAGCGCCAGAAGGGAGTATGGGGCTGAGGGAGGGGCTCTGTTTCCGCATTCGTTTCGTTTCATTGTCGCATGTTTCAGTTTCAGTTTCGTTCACCAGCAACTTATCTTTCTTCCCTTAGTCCCTCCCTCTTGCATTCCTGTACTGCAGGGCGGGAGGCGTGGCAGCAGCAGCTACACGGGAGGGAGGGAGGCGGGGTGGCGTGCGGAGGAGGAGGGGTGAGGGAGTATGGGAGTATGGGGCTCAGGGAGGGGACCAATTTCCGCTCTGTTTCCGCATTCGTTTCGTTTCGTTGTCGCATGTTTCAGTTTCTGTTTCATTTTTTGCATTCTCTTTATCAGCCACTTATCTTTCTTCCCTCAGCCCCTCCCTCTTGCATTCCTGTACTGCAGAGCGGGAGGCGCGGCAGCAGCAGCTACACGGGAGGGAGGGAGGCGGGGTGGCGTGCGGAGGAGGAGGGAGCAGCACCAGCAGTGTCTTCTTTCAGAAGGGAGTATGGGGCTCAGGGAGGGGACCAATTTCCGCTCTGTTTCCGCATTCGTTGTGCTTTCGTTGTCGCACGTTTCTCTTTCTGTTTTGTTTTTTGCATTCTCTTCACCAGCCACTTATCTTTCTTCCCTTAGCCCCTCCCTCTAGCATTCCTGTACTGCAGAGCAGGAAGCGCGGTAGCAGCAGCTACACGGGAGGGAGGAAGGCGGGTTGGCGTGCGGAGGAGGAGGGACCAGCAGCACCAGCAGCGTTTTCTTTCAGAAGGGAGTATGGGGCTCTAGGAGGGGATCAATTTCCTTTTGTTTCCGCATTCGTTTCGTTTCGTTGTTGCATGTTTCAATTTCTGTTTCGTTTTTTGCATTCTCTTCACCAGCCACTTATCTTTCTTCCCTTAGCCCCCCCTTCTTGCATTCCTGTACTGCAGATTGGGAGGCGCGGCAGAAGCAGCTACATGGGGAGGCGGGTTGGAGAACGGAGGAGGAGGGAGCAGCAGCTGTCACCAGCAGCGCCTGCTTTCACAAGGGAGTATGGGGCTCAGGGAGGAAACCGATTTTCGCTCTATTTTTGCTTGCTTTTCATTTCCTTGTCGCATGTTTCAGTTTCTGTTTCGCTTTTTGCATTCTTTTTATCAGCCGCTTATCTTTCTTCCCTTTGCTCCCCCCTCTTGCATTCCTGTACTGCAGAGCGGGAGGCGCGGCAGCAGCAGCTACAGGGGAGGGAGGAGGGAGGCGGGTTTGAATGCGGAGGAGGAGGGGTGAGGCGTGAGGGGTGAGGGGTGAGGTCCTTGTGTGCTGTTCTTGAGGCGCCTCAAGACAGCTGTGAACTGCCGGTGGCGGTTCTGTTCTGTTTACTGCAGTGCACTGCAGCTTGTCGTTCTGTGTCCGTTCGGTCCAGTCCGTTGGTCCTTGAGTTTTGGGAGACGTCCCAAAACTCGTGTGCTCCTCACTGCAGAGTCGCTGCAGTGAGCAAACCCATCTCTCTTGTTCCTCACAGCAGCCTAGCTGCAGTGAGCAAAATTACACAGCTGGTCAAGCAGCAAGACTGGGCAGCCAGGACGGGCAGCACCTGGTTTGAGGATGATTTTTATCTGCCCCCGGGCAGTACGCATTGTGTTTCTTTCTCTAGGGTTTAGGGTTTTAGGGTTTAGGGTTTAGGGTTTAGGGTTTAGGGTTTAGGGTTTAGGGTTTAGGGTTTAGGGTTCAGGGTTTAGGGTTTAGGGTTTAGGGTTTAGGGTTTAGGGTTTAGGGTTTAGGGTCCTAAGCGATGGTTCCCACCTCACCGAGGTGCTTGGGTGTAACGTCAGGAGCTCTGCTCCTGGTGGCCAAGAGGAACCCCCCATGCATACATACAGTGCATGGGTAGTAAACTATAGAGTATAGCAGATTATCAATATATAGTTCTTGATTAGATTAGTAAATATTTATTAGACGGTGATGATGATACATATCAGCTGGTTTACAGCTTAAAGTAGCGGTGGCAGTAAAAGACTCTGTAGACATTTCCGTACTAGATGGTGGTAGTGGCAGTATTGATTTTAAAAGAGAGCCCTGCTGAAGTAGCATTACATGAATTTATACGGTAGCATTACCGCACCGCAGCAGTAGCAGTATGCCAGTAGCTGCAGCTATGCATGTCCTTCAGTCGTGCATGGATAGTACAATGGTATACTAGCAGATTATAAATATATAGTTCTCATTTACCGAAGATCAGTAAATATTTAAAAGAGGGATGATCAAGTGGAACTATGGAACATTTGGTTGCAGATTTAATACAGAGCTCTCTCTGAAATTGACCTGTTTTTGTTGCAGCATGAACAGGCTCGCCTAACAAAGAGCTGGACTCGCTGCACGTTGTTACCAGAGATGTGCCCCCTGATAATCACATTGCTAAGCCAACGCACCCTACTCATCTTCAAGACGACTCCGTAATGCCACATGTATCTACACAAGTGCAGTTGCAGTTACGCCGCTCAGCCATTTATGGCCTGTGTGAGGCCAGGGATGGAGGCCGGCAGTTGCTCCATGAGCTCCTTAAAGTTGCTCTGCACCTCCCTCATCTGCTTCTCCAGGTACTTCTTTGACCCCTGCAATGCAACGCACACAGAGGAAGCAAGAAAAGCAAGACGCCATTCCAATGCGGGGGCAAGTCGGCAATGTGGAGAATGTGAAGCGTCATGAGGAGATGAAAGACAAGTGTGAAGGATGTGGGAGTGAAGGATGTGGGAGGGTAAACACTGTGGGAGATGCGGACCTGCAGCGATGCAATGGTGGCCTCTGCCTCCTTGATCTTCCCTTCCTCCGTTGCCCTCGCCTCTTCTAGTGGCTGCAGCACAAACCTGGTAATCGGGTGAGGCAGTGGGAGCATGCGGATATGGTGCTGAGTGGACAGGAAAGGTATCCATTGTGCAAGTGTCTGCATGGCAGGCTAAATGCGTGTGCAAGGCCAGGGCATGCATGCAATGCAGTGCCCAGAAGCGATGCCAACATTGCGGCGAGGGTAGAGGCATGGGACTGAGCTCCGCAGTGAAAGGAGCATGAAGAGGAGCAGGGTGGAATGGAAGGGTGGAGGAAAAGAGCCGGAGTAACTTGCAGAAAGACGTGACTGGCTATGCTGACTTACGCTCTTCCTGAGATCATTGATGGGGCAGGAGTCATGTCCCCGATTGATGCACCACCAGACGCAAGTGAGAGCCAACATGCAGCGATTAGGCACGCATGTGTGAGGGATAAACCAAAAGGGGCAGGGAAAAAAAGGAGATGTAAGCAGGATTGGAATGAACGAGAATCTTGCAGCAAAGGGAAGTTATTTTAATTTCACGCCCGAACAAAGAATCTCGGTTTCCCACATGGCCGATCCTTTCTGTGCGCGCACTCACCGATGCTCTGATACACATTTGTTTCCGCGGGCAGCTCTTGCAGCTCGTCCAGCGTCGTTCTGGCCGTGAAAATGTCCACCTCGCACGCCTTCTCCTGCCCTACCACCTGCGCGAGGAGAGAGAGAGAGAGAGAGAGAGAGAGAGAGAGAGAGAGAGAGAGAGAGAGAGAGAGAGAGAGAGAGAGAGAGAGAGAGAGAGAGAGAGAGAGAGAGAGAGAGAGAGAGAGACTTAGCCTCTGGCCTCTTCCCTCGGCCCTCTTCCCTCGGCCCTCTAGCTATATAAGAGCCCCTCGGCCCTTCCTCTTTTCATTAGTTCATTTGGTGGTAGGAAAAACGGCGTGGCGAGAGCGAGAGAGAGAGGACTTAGCCTCTGGCCTCTTCCCTCGGCCCTCTTCCCTCGGCCCTCTAGCTATATAAGAGCCCCTCGGCCCTTCCTCTTTTCATTAGTTCATTTGGTGGTAGGAAAAACGGCGTGGCGAGAGCGAGAGAGAGAGGACTTAGCCTCTGGCCTCTTCCCTCGGCCCTCTTCCCTCGGCCCTCTAGCTATATAAGAGCCCCTCGGCCCTTCCTCTTTTCATTAGTTCATTTGGTGGTAGGAAAAACGGCGCTCGCGCCGGAGCGAGAGAGAGAGAGGACTTAGCCTCTGGCCTCTTCCCTCGGCCCTCTTCCCTCGGCCCTCTAGCTATATAAGAGCCCCTCGGCCCTTCCTCTTTTCATTAGTTCATTTGGTGGTAGGAAAAACGGCGTGGAGAGAGCGAGAGAGAGAGGACTTAGCCTCTGGCCTCTTCCCTCGGCCCTCTTCCCTCGGCCCTCTAGCTATATAAGAGCCCCTCGGCCCTTCCTCTTTTCATTAGTTCATTTGGTGGTAGGAAAAACGGCGCTCGCGCCGGAGCGAGAGAGAGAGGACTTAGCCTCTGGCCTCTTCCCTCGGCCCTCTTCCCTCGGCCCTCTAGCTATATAAGAGCCCCTCGGCCCTTCCTCTTTTCATTAGTTCATTTGGTGGTAGGAAAAACGGCGTGGAGAGAGCGAGAGAGAGAGGACTTAGCCTCTGGCCTCTTCCCTCGGCCCTCTTCCCTCGGCCCTCTAGCTATATAAGAGCCCCTCGGCCCTTCCTCTTTTCATTAGTTCATTTGGTGGTAGGAAAAACGGCGCTCGCGCCGGAGCGAGAGAGAGAGGACTTAGCCTCTGGCCTCTTCCCTCGGCCCTCTTCCCTCGGCCCTCTAGCTATATAAGAGCCCCTCGGCCCTTCCTCTTTTCATTAGTTCATTTGGTGGTAGGAAAAACGGCGTGGAGAGAGCGAGAGAGAGAGGACTTAGCCTCTGGCCTCTTCCCTCGGCCCTCTTCCCTCGGCCCTCTAGCTATATAAGAGCCCCTCGGCCCTTCCTCTTTTCATTAGTTCATTTGGTGGTAGGAAAAACGGCGCTCGCGCCGGAGCGAGAGAGAGAGGACTTAGCCTCTGGCCTCTTTCCTCGGCCCTCTTCCCTCGGCCCTCTAGCTATATAAGAGCCCCTCGGCCCTTCCTCTTTTCATTAGTTCATTTGGTGGTAGGAAAAACGGCGTGGAGAGAGCGAGAGAGAGAGGACTTAGCCTCTGGCCTCTTCCCTCGGCCCTCTTCCCTCGGCCCTCTAGCTATATAAGAGCCCCTCGGCCCTTCCTCTTTTCATTAGTTCATTTGGTGGTAGGAAAAACGGCGTGGAGAGAGCGAGAGAGAGAGGACTTAGCCTCTGGCCTCTTCCCTCGGCCCTCTTCCCTCGGCCCTCTAGCTATATAAGAGCCCCTCGGCCCTTCCTCTTTTCATTAGTTCATTTGGTGGTAGGAAAAACGGCGCTCGCGCCGGAGCGAGAGAGAGAGGACTTAGCCTCTGGCCTCTTCCCTCGGCCCTCTTCCCTCGGCCCTCTAGCTATATAAGAGCCCCTCGGCCCTTCCTCTTTTCATTAGTTCATTTGGTGGTAGGAAAAACGGCGTGGAGAGAGCGAGAGAGAGAGGACTTAGCCTCTGGCCTCTTCCCTCGGCCCTCTTCCCTCGGCCCTCTAGCTATATAAGAGCCCCTCGGCCCTTCCTCTTTTCATTAGTTCATTTGGTGGTAGGAAAAACGGCGCTCGCGCCGGAGCGAGAGAGAGAGGACTTAGCCTCTGGCCTCTTCCCTCGGCCCTCTTCCCTCGGCCCTCTAGCTATATAAGAGCCCCTCGGCCCTTCCTCTTTTCATTAGTTCATTTGGTGGTAGGAAAAACGGCGTGGAGAGAGCGAGAGAGAGAGGACTTAGCCTCTGGCCTCTTCCCTCGGCCCTCTTCCCTCGGCCCTCTAGCTATATAAGAGCCCCTCGGCCCTTCCTCTTTTCATTAGTTCATTTGGTGGTAGGAAAAACGGCGCTCGCGCCGGAGCGAGAGAGAGAGGACTTAGCCTCTGGCCTCTTCCCTCGGCCCTCTTCCCTCGGCCCTCTAGCTATATAAGAGCCCCTCGGCCCTTCCTCTTTTCATTAGTTCATTTGGTGGTAGGAAAAACGGCGTGGAGAGAGCGAGAGAGAGAGGACTTAGCCTCTGGCCTCTTCCCTCGGCCCTCTTCCCTCGGCCCTCTAGCTATATAAGAGCCCCTCGGCCCTTCCTCTTTTCATTAGTTCATTTGGTGGTAGGAAAAACGGCGCTCGCGCCGGAGCGAGAGAGAGAGGACTTAGCCTCTGGCCTCTTCCCTCGGCCCTCTTCCCTCGGCCCTCTAGCTATATAAGAGCCCCTCGGCCCTTCCTCTTTTCATTAGTTCATTTGGTGGTAGGAAAAACGGCGTGGAGAGAGCGAGAGAGAGAGGACTTAGCCTCTGGCCTCTTCCCTCGGCCCTCTTCCCTCGGCCCTCTAGCTATATAAGAGCCCCTCGGCCCTTCCTCTTTTCATTAGTTCATTTGGTGGTAGGAAAAACGGCGCTCGCGCCGGAGCGAGAGAGAGAGGACTTAGCCTCTGGCCTCTTCCCTCGGCCCTCTTCCCTCGGCCCTCTAGCTATATAAGAGCCCCTCGGCCCTTCCTCTTTTCATTAGTTCATTTGGTGGTAGGAAAAACGGCGTGGAGAGAGCGAGAGAGAGAGGACTTAGCCTCTGGCCTCTTCCCTCGGCCCTCTTCCCTCGGCCCTCTAGCTATATAAGAGCCCCTCGGCCCTTCCTCTTTTCATTAGTTCATTTGGTGGTAGGAAAAACGGCGCTCGCGCCGGCGGCCTTCGGCCGCCGACGCTCGCAAGCGCGGCCTTCGGCCGCGCGTTAGGGGCGGCAAGATTAGCTACAAGCGCCCACGCAACACTATAACAAGCAATACAGGCATGTAGACTTTGACCAGCAAGTAGTGCCAAACATGCAGCTCGTTTACACACGTAGGGCAGTAGTTACTACATCTGGTCCGCCTCTAGGGCGGCAAGGATCCCCGTCAGGGTCCTCCACAGGGGGCGGAGCACCATTGTGCTTGCGCCGATCACTTCGACTCCGTTCCCAGCCCGCAGGTGCCCTCTCAGAACCCGGACTGCTTCGTCCACCTGCCCGACCGCCGCGCCTCCCCGCACGGGCGCTACCAGCAAGGGCGCAACAAGCGCGGCAAGCTGCCCAGCTGCAGCCAGAGAATCAGCTCGCGATTCAGGACCAAGAGTGTTCTCTTGGTTCGCCTGAATGGACGCGTGGGCGCTCACCTGAATCAGTAGCAGGCCCCGAAGGCACTCCGCCAAGCGCCACAGCTGCCCAAGGGTCACCGTGGGCACTAGAATCTGCCGGGGAAAGGTCCCCTCGGCCAGACTACAACGAGGAGCGGGGTCAGCAGGAAGAAAGTCGGCAATGCGGCGCGGGGGGACAAACGGCGCCCTCCCCGCTCCTCCTCCCGCCCCCACAAATTCCATACCGACGACAGGAGGAACCCACGGGAGCACGGGGTACGGATGCGCTGTCGTCCTCTCGAACGCGGGCGGAAACACGGGCGGCGCAGCAGGCTGAGGCGCGGGAGCCCGCTCGACAACAGGCGCCGGGACAGCAGGGGCTGCAAGCGGCGGCTGCGAGCCAATCGGGTTCGACGATCCCATCTGCGCGGAGCGCATGGCGGCCGCAAACATCCACGGCAGATCGGCGCGCAGCTGCTGCACCTCCGTCGCGTTTCCTTGGCCGCGACCGTGACCTCCCCTCCAGCCGCCACGGCCGCCGCGATGTGCAGATCGGTATGAGGGAGAGGGGCGACGACGCGGAGAACCACGCCCCCGATGAGACGTCGCGTGGCCCCTCGCAGCAGCTTGATTTTCTGAGCCCGCTTGCGGGCCCAGTGGCACGGAGGGAGGCACCGCCTGATGGGCCGGCGCAGACCCTGGAGGTGCGAGGCTGGCGGGGTCAGAGCCAGCGCCCACCGCGGTCGCCTGCGCAGACCCCCCGACGGCAGCTAGGACGGGCGGCTGCGTCACCGGCGCCAGCGCAGGAGGTGTCGAACCGACCGGTACCCCAGCGGTTGGAAGGGGATCAGTTGGCGACAAGCGGGCAGGGT